GCTGCGGTGGTTCTCCTTCCTCTCCGACCGGTCGCAGTTCGTGTTGACGGGGGGACAGAGATCGACCTCGAGGTGCCTTATGTGTGGGGTGCCGCAAGGGTTGGTTCTGTTGCCCCTTTTGTTCAACATTTATGTGAAGCCAGGTGAGATCATCCGTGGTTTCGGGGTGAAGTGTCATCTGTACGTTGATGATACTCAGCTGTACATTTCCACCCCGGACCACCCCAATTATGCCTTTGATGTGATGTGCTGGTGCCTGGAGGCCGTGTGGATCTGGATGGGGAGAAACAGGCTCAGGCTCAACCCGTCCAAGACCGAGTGGCTGTGGCTTCCGGCATCCCGATATAGTTAGTTGGCACCATCGCTGACTTTTGGGGGCGAGTCGTTGGCCCCCACAGAGAGGGCTCACAACTTGGGTGTCCTCCTGGATACACGTCTGTCTTTGGAAGAGCATATGACGGCTGTGGCCAGGGGGGCCTTTTATCAGGTTTGCCTGATCCACCAGTTGCGTCCCTTTCTGGATCGGGATGCCTTACGCACGGTCACTCATGCCCTCGTCACATCCCGCTTGGACTACTGTAATGCTCTCTACATGGGGCTCCCCTTGAGGAGCACCCGGAGGCTCCAACTGGTCCAGAATGCGGCCGCGCGGGTGGTTATGGGGGCTCCCATGTAACACCTCTCCTGCACAAGCTGCACTGGCCCCCAGTGATCTTCTGGGTGCGCTTCAAGGTATTGGTTACCACCTTTAGAGCGCTCCATGGCTTAGGACCCGGGTATTTACGAGACCGCCTTCTGCCGCCAGTAGCCTCCCACTGACCAGTACACTCCCACAGAGAGGGGCTCCTCAGGGTGCCATTGGCCAAATAATGCCGGCAGGCGGCCCCAGGGGGAAAGGCCTTCTCTGTGGGGGCACCTACCCTCTGGAACAAGCTGCCCCCGGAGATACGGCAGATCCCAGATCTGCTCACTTTCCGCCGTGCCCTAAAAACGTTTCTGTTTCATCAAGCCAGGTTGACCTGACCTAACTTTTTAAAATTGTTTTAATTTTAAATTGTTAAATTATGGGTTTTAATATAGGGGTGTTTTAACTGTGGGCCAAATTAATTTAATTGGATTTTAATATTGTTTTAAATTTTGTATTTTTTGTATTTTATCTGTTGGCTCTTCACCGCCCTGAGTCCTTCGGGAGAAGGGCGGTATACAAATATAATAAACATAAACATAAACTTTGTGTATGCTGCGTTCTTTGGGGTCCGTAGCTGGGGCAGAACAAAAGGTTGTACAATGGGGCAAATCTCAGTTAACAAATGTCTCATTTAGCCACAGAAATTTTGGGCTCAATCATGATCATAAATCGAGGATTACCTGCAATAGGATTGAGATATGTTTGTCTGCTAGTATTGGTGGTTGATAAGAAAATAATTTATCAATGCATTAATATAGTAGACAAAAGTCAATAATACAGCTTTGTCTGTCCTCTCTATTAATGGGGATCTTGATGGCATAGTACACTGGGCAACAACATCTAACTTTTATGGTCATGCTTTGTATTTGTTGAGGAAGGAAGAAGTATGAAACTTAGATTTGATCCTCAAAGTAGTATCAAAGAATGTATTCTTTCCATTGCATTACCTGATACACTACCACAAATTATGAGTCTTCAATGTTGGCAAATATCAATAAATACAGAATAAATCTGACCACAGCACCATTGTATGAGTGGCTTTAATGGTTTCTTACCTGAAAGCTTGTTAGAGTATTAATTGCTTGAGGAAATGCAGAGGGCTCCTCTCTCATTTTCTCTCCACTCTTTATTCCTTTGCATTAGTGTTATCATATTCTTGAATGCTTAAGTCTTTTATAGCAATTTTGGCCTATTTTGCTACATTGCTTTACCAGTATAGTTTAGTTTTGTACGCTTTTATCCTTATTTTCCTGGACTACAAAACTGACCATCTTTATTTTGTTGCTACACAATTCCCTCATGTACCTCTTTCACTTAACTTTCTTTCTGTCCAAGATGCCATTACTTCCAGCCTATCCTCTCTTTTTTCAGACATCAAATCTTTTCTACTGCATCTGCTCTTCTAATGATTCAGATGTTCTGAGCAGGAAAAGGCGGTCAACAGGCAATTCCCAAATGGCCAGCTGGGCACAAACCACCAGCTTACTTAGGGCTGCTAAAATGCAGAGCTTGTTTGCATACCATTGGTGGAAATTTGGGGACTGGGATTCTGAAGACTCGTACACATCTCAGTATTTTCTTTGTGATGACCCTTATTCTGGAAACACTGGCTTGATTGTTCACTATTAGTTTCTGCACAGTGTTTCCTGCCTTTGGGCAAGAGAAAGCTCTTTGCCCTGCATACCAGAATGACTTGTTCTGTTTGAAATTCTTCAGTGCAAACCCTTTTTGTGTTTGTGTGCAAATTTACAGGAAGGACAAATACTGAAGATATATGCTTAAAAAGTTGGTTAACTCTCTTTTTGCCTTGTTCCATTGTATCATTCCTGAGCCACTTCTCAGAGCATAATCTTATCAGTTAGTAGGGAAAAACATGACAAAAACTAAAGTATGCATTTATGGAAAAGTTAAGAAAGGCTGAGAGTGAATGACAAGCCTAGAGTTACCCATTGACCTTCCTGACTCAGCCAGGAACTGAACCTTGGTTGTTCCTGGTCGTCATGTAACACAAAAGCCAATTTAAGAATACCTTAATTGGCTTTTCTTGGCCAATGAATACATGTAGCTTAGAATGCAATAGTTTCTTATTTGCAAAAATGCAATATTATTTATGCACTTTCAGTTATCTTAAGCACTTCATACATATTATAATAGTTTTATAAAATAGATAACACTATAGCCCCACTGCACGCTGGTCACATTCATACTGTACACACTTTACTTCATTGTGTATAGAATTCATTTATTTCTGGCTTTTCACAAAATACTGCACAATTAAGTAATTGGGCTGAGTTCAGTTTAGAAAAACGAACAAAATATTGTCACTCTTAAATCTAATACAATGTCGACAGAGGTAGAATTTCTGATTTTATTTAATCCAAAATGGTTGACAATAAATCCATGTAATTGAAAAGTAGGATTAAACTGGATACTTCTCCACAATAAAGTCCATTCAAATGCATCGTGTTTGGCCTGAAGTTCCAGGCACCTCCTATCTTGCACCTGTGCACCTGTTTTTTTATACCTACATGCAGAACCTGACTTTTTTTCCTTAGCATTTGAATAGCATTTTGTTGAATAGCCTCCAATGTTGAAGTCTATCAAGATCCATTTGACTTTTAGCTTCTCTTTTGAACTGTTAGAAGCCCCCTCTTCCAGCTTTGCATAATTTGTAAATTTGATGATCATCTAAGACATTCTTCATCTAACAACCTTCATCTTCATCTTCATTCTTCATCTAAGACACTTATAAATATGTTGAAGAACTCTGGGCCTGGGACAATGAGATGTCTCCCTGCACACCTCCCTCCATGTAGACATGTGTAAACAAGTACTGCCATATATATTTGGGGAGCTCCTTGATTGAGTTCTGCAGGATCTGGCTAACCTGGCTAGGTGGCTCAGTGCAAAGACATTGAGCTTATCAATCAGAAAGGTCGGCAGTTTGAATCTCTAGTATAGCTCTCTTGCGTGAGAAGGGGGTTGGACTAAATGACTTCCAAGGTCCCTTACAACTCTGTTACTGTTATCTTGAGTGTAAGGATGGCTGTGCCACTGGTAGAAGAGAACCCCATAATTATGCAAGGAACAAGATGATTGTTTTCTCAGTTCTGTGCTTACAGCTTTACTATTGTTACTACTACTAAGATGCATTTTAAGCTGTAGTATCAAAGCCCACAACTGGTGCACCAGCAGTTGAGAATTAGAGACCCTTTATCTTAGTTGATTATGAAACTGAGCAAAAAGCAATTTTAAAACATCTCCTCAGGCTATGGAGGGTGGGAAAGTAGTCAGTGTCCAGATGGAAGAGAATGGACTGAAATTAAATCCTTGGAAAAATGAAGTTGCTGTTGATACATCATAGTCTTCTGTCACTGGAGATATTCCTTGATGGGCAGGTACTATGCATCAGGGAACAGATTCAAACTTGAGGATCTTTCTGGACTCATGAGTTCTACTGGGTCAGCAAGTAGAGGCTGTGGCCAGAGGAGCTAACAGTTAGCTCCAATAGGCGTGGTCTTCCTGGAACAGAAGAACCTTAACTCATGACCATATTACTTTCCAGTTAGATTACTGTAATGCACCCTTCTTGGGTTGCTTTTAAAGATGCTGAGAAACTACAGTTGGTCAAAAATATAGCAGCCCCATCCTTTAAGCTCCTTGCATTGGGATTATATTAGACCTTTTTACCAAAATCTGCATGTTAGAAGGCTGTAGGTATCTTCAGGAACACTGCCTATTGTGAATATCTATCTCACCAGTTAGATCTCCCAAGGAGAAACTTTTGCAAATCCTGTACTCTGGGACAGTTTGGAAGGAAAGGGTTGAAGTGAGGTGATTCAACTTTTCTGTAGTAGTGTCAATCTTATGGAAGAGTCTTATTATGGAGATGATTATGGTGATGGTAATTAAAATTTATTAAATTTATATGCTGCCGATTCCTAGCGCTTCTGCATGGGGAAGATCAGGCTGGTTCTCTCTTTGCTGATGTTTTAGAAGATCCTGAAAGCAAATTGTTTTAAAAACTTTTCCTTAATGTGTAGGTTGCCATCTCTACGATTAATTATGTTTGTTTCGTATTGTATAGTTTTGTATTGTTATGCTTTTTGTTTCATATTCTATAGTTTTGTATATGCTTTTATATTGTTAGTAGTTGCTTTATTTTTGCCATATATATTTTAATTTATATCTTTTCTATGTAAGCTGCCAGGAATCTTTTTTTTTTATTATGGTAGCATAAGAACATGTTCATTTAAAAAAAAAACCCTCAGAATTATCATTTTTTTAAAAAAAAATCACATGGAACATTAAATCCTGTTACACTTTATTAAATATCATATTAAATGAAAACAATTGACACTTAACAAACCATACATTGTTTATAGTAAGACAAATTACACATTGAATACAATGTAACATTTACTTAACCATACTGCTGACTAAGCTGTCATTAAAGCATGTGCCTATATTGTGTATACATACTTAATATTAATATTGTTTGATTACCAAATCCCTGTTAAAAAGTGCACCTTTTTGTGCCTTGTATAAAGAATCCCAACTAGGGAAAAATTTGTAGGTAGCACTGCAGAACTGCATGTTCTGAGACTACGTTTAGGGAATATCTTAATGCAATCTTTCAATGTTTGTTTTAAAAAATATTGCAAGGCAATAACATAGATAAGTGCCTCTATACCTTTTTGTCAAAAAAAAAAAAAAAGAAAAGATTTGTGTCATGATTTGGTGAAGAATGGAATGTAATTCTATTTATATGGTCTCCATATTCCACATGAATCTATACAGTCCAAATGTCATTTATTCTATTACTTTAGAAAAACAATAATAATATATTTTTGGGAAATACATACTCTATATTCACCATACATTTATGTGCATGGGTGGGCATGCATTCAAAAGATCACATTGCCTTCACTGTTCAGAGGAGCAACATTAATCTTTAATTAATCAGAAAAATTTCACATTTTCACATTGAAAGCAAGACTGGTCCAAAGCCTCCCCAACCATTGTTATATATTTCCTGTGCTTGTTTAATCTTATTCCTAAGAGACAAAATACACATTATTTGCAATGACCCAGGTGCTCTGCATATTTGAGCTGTTCAAGTGGGAATCCTATTGAACCAATTTTCCAATGTAACATTGGTAACGAAAACCCTGTAGACCAATTTTCTATCGCTATTTCTACATTCTTCATATACTGGAATTCCTCTTATCTTTCATTATGAGGTGATCATTTTCTCTTCTTAGGTTTCAAAAGTATTCCCTCTCTTCTCATTGAGAAGCTTTCTAAAATAAGGAGGAGTTTAATTAAAAGAATTGGATGTATTTGGAAAGCATTTTTTCTTCTAATACCAATTACAGAAGTCCAATGCATGCATGGTGGTTTTTTCCATGGCTGCCATATTTCACTACTAATTCCCTGGCCGTTCCAATAGTACTTCAAACAAACTATTATGTGGAATGGTTAGACTGCATAGGTAGTATTTACAAATGGGCTAGGTCTCTATCCAATTAATCATTGAAGTCTTATTAGAAAAATAGGGAACCCAATTATGGGAAAACAGCAGATACGTTATTTCAGTAACTTATATACCAGGTCACAATTAACATATACATGGAAAATTAAAAATATGCAATCTTGAATTCCAAGTACCTGAAAAGGGGGTAGAAACTGCATTAGGTTTTGGCTCTTATTGAAATTCTGAAAGGCTCAGAGTTGTCATAAGCACTACATAATCGGGAGAAACAGGAAGTACAAATGATATGGCAGGATCTCTTAAGAGTTAGAATCCATTCCTATTGTAGTCAAAAGCACAAGTGTTAGATGCAAAATCCATGCAGAATCACAGTGGAAGTAGCTGCAAAATATAAAATCCTTTGTTATGCATTGTTCAGAATATTTCAGAATTGCCTTTCTATCTCCAACATAAGAGTTACATGGTTTTGCGTAAACCAATGATGGCAAAACTTTTATCCATCGGGTGCCCAAACCGCGTGTGCGCATGCCCAAACTGCGCACAATTTGGGCATGTGCACAATTGTGCACAATCGTGAACATTAACACACGCATGTGTGGACATGCATGTGCATGCACAGCAGAAACCCCAACACTGGCAGCGTGGCAAGAGATAAGATCTTTTTCTTTTGTGACCTTGTTTCCTCGTTTGCAGGGAAACAGAAGCTCACGAATAAAACGCCACAGAGATCTAACTTGGGGTGACGGCACGCGTACTAGCAGACAGGTCTCTGCGTGCCACTTCTGGCAAGCGTGCCATAGGTTCGCCATCACGGGCCTAAACTGATCTGCAAAGGAATCAGAATGATGAAATGGCTGTGTAGGGCAAGATGAAAGAGGTAACCATATTTTGACCATAACCTGGAAGGTACTTTAGGGTAAAACTTGTGCAAGTTTCTATTATGCGCTAAAAGAGAACAGAGGGGAAAATAAAATTGCATAATTACTATTTGCCAAATCATAAATTTGAAGAGATAAGAACACTGATCCCCCCCCCCCACAAGCAGCTTCATGATTGCACTGCACAATGTTGGAGATCGTATTATATGGTAGCTACATACTTTTATTTACATTCCAGTGATAATTCTTCTCCACTATCACTAAAATTAGAACTATAATAAAATCTAGCTAACTGATATTTATTCACTTCAAGTAATTGATGATCTCCCATAATTTTAATGCCTTAAGAAAAACCATACAGTAACTTTAAGAAACAAAATACTGGGTTCTTTGCCAGTGCACCATTTTTTTTTAGTGTATAAATGTGGACTGATACTAAAGACAATAACCCTGGATTCAATATGGATTCTATAGAAAAGAACAGGGGCAAATAAAATAGATTTGATATTGAAAATGTATGGATTCTAAATTTGAATCTCTTTTATACATATCATCTTCCATGTACAATTATTCCAGAACCCTTGCCTTCTGTTGAGTTTTGAAAAAAATCACCTCAAATAAACTGTGATTTATTTTCCACAGATTGCTTTAGTTGTGCTAATTTCTAAGGGTTGTCATTGTGCTTTGGAGAAGATTGCAAAAGGAGCCACCAATGATTTTGTTTTTCGTGTGTTTCTTGGCTGGATTTCGAGCCCATTCCAAAATACAAAGATTTATAGCTTAAATGGCTTCTCCCACCCAAAAAAGATTGGTTAATCTTGGTTAAGAGGAGAAATTGAATTACTAATTAATCTACTCTAAGAGATGGACTTCCAGCCTCCAAATTCTACCCCCCCCCTTCAATCCTTTTAAATCAAGAACTTATATTAGAAGTGAAATTCATTATTTTCAAACTGTAAGAGCTGATAGCAATAGCAATAGCATTTAGACTTGTATACCGCTTCACAGTGCTTTACAGCTCTCTCTAAGCGGTTTACAAAGTCAGCATATTGCCCCCAACAATCTGGGTCCTCATTTTAACGACCTCAGAATGATGTAAGGCTGAGACAACCTTGAGCCTGGTAAGATTTGAACTGCCAAATTTCAGGCAGCCAGCAGTCAGGAGAAGTAGCCTGCAGTACTGCATTCTAACCACTGCGCCACCCCAGCTCTTTAATGTCATTGGCCAATACGTTCAAGGGCATCAACAACTATTTTTGAAAAAATCTAAGCATACATCCTAAACATTTTATTTATTGTGAATAATAAAGTGCTAAGCATTTAGCCCATTGAAGGAAATAACTCAGTGAATTACTTTTTGCATGAAACCATATGTTTAACATGGAGAGAAATGGTTTCCATCTCTCTTTAAGCTAGTACAGAAATTTACAGAAATCTATCTTCATTTGATAGTTTTGTTTAATTCTCTAATTTTCTTTCCTGTTCCATTTTTTTTATAGTGCTGAGATTTTTATTTTTTTTTGACTGGTCACCTTGAAATAGCCAAGTGAATATATGATCGAATTTAAAAACAAAATAAAGATTAAGGCATTTAATCTTTATTAAATATTTCATTGTATTTTGTGGTTATTGTTTCCATGGATATAAAGTTTTAAATAAAGGTGGCAAAGCTTGATTCAGGCAGGACAGAAACATTTATTTTAATTTATATATAATTGTTGGGAATAGTGTAATAATAAAACCATACTGTCAAAAGTTCCCTTGTATTAAAAAATAGTATTTTGCAAAATCAAGTATTCGCCAGATCCAAGTAATAAGATGCTTTCAGTTTACAGAGCAAATGCAAACTATAAAACGTATCCCTGTTTCCAGCTTTTATTTATAAAAGCATTAAGATGCCATAATCGAATTTGAATGAATGAATGAATGAATGAATGAATGAATGAAGTTCTTAAACATCTGTTATACTATGAAATGATGTAATTTTCTTTTATTTCAGGGGAATTTATTCTTCCCCATCTATAATAACATTGTACTAGTCATGTTAGGGACGGTATATAGAAGGCAAATCCAACTACTGCCGTCACTTGTTCCATTTCCCTTCCACCTTCTTTTAAGGCAGGGAGAATAGTAATCCCTTTTTAACAATTTGCAAATTACACAGGAAAATCAGCTATATGAAGATGCATAATATAGTGCTTTTCTCCCTACCATCTTAATATCTTAGAAAAATAACTTGAAGAGTCCTTTGGTTATAAAAAGAAAGTATTTTGAATTTGGATAGTTATTCAAGACTAATATTTTTAATGGCTCATTCAGCAACTAGTCATAGTGTCACTCAGCACTGTCATAGTGCTTTTCCAAATGTAAACTCATTTTTTTCTTCATCTTTTGTAGTTTCCTTCTTAGAAAATATTGTTGAAGCAAGACATGAACAAGTTGAACTATAATCACAAAAACAGTAGAACAATAAGCCCCCTTTCTCACAAGGGCGTAAAGTATCTGAATATATATATATATATGCCCATTTATGCCACTTTATTCAACATAGGCAGAGTACCCAAATTCTAGCTAAGATGCATTTATTGCCATGGTTAAATTAAGGAATATTACGTTTACTAGCAGTAAAAAATGAGAAAAATTATAAGACACTGACTGTCACAACCAACCTGTAATCTGTTTCAGTTTATAATTTTGATGAATGTGAAATGAGTGGAACTTCCCAATGAATACATATATTGTTTCATGCCATGACTGTCTTTTAGCTACAGATAATATAAAGGGAGTTGTGAACACCAAAGGTGTTGCCTTACTATATTTAAGACATTGCTGGTGAAACTTAAATATTTTCACAAAAGTATTTATACTGCAGTGAAGTAAAAGCAATAAAACCAAACACAAAAGACTGAGGAAAAAAAGCCAATTATGCCACACATCAATAAAGCAAATAGCTTAATCTTCACAAATGTCTCTCAAATCACAATGTATCAAAATACGTGCAGTACTTTAAATAAACTGAGAAGGAGTAGGGAACCAGATCTTGTCAGCATAATTTTTCTTGTGATTGAAATCCAAGAAAGGAAGCAGATAATGGTGCCTTTATAATGTTGTCTATATCTTGTTTGTTTTTTCTCTTCTCTAGTCTGGTGATCTTAATTCCTATAATGAAAACAACAGAAATTACAGTAAACATTATGATGAGAAGTTGTTCAATAATGATAAGACAACAGTATCCTGTTCTTTTAATGTTAACCAAAATAAACATTAAAAATTTTAAGGACAAGATTCAGATTTGCAAGCCTCTCTTCAAAGCCAAATGCCAATTCTCTAGACTTACAGCAATATTTTATTTATTAACTATAGTTTATATGTTTCTTGATTCAATAAACCGCAGAATAATTTACCACAGAAACCATTTTCACCCCCACAATGTTAAAATAAAAGCCAGCCAACCATCAATCAAATAATACTGAAGCAACAATTCTTCACCAAAGAAAGTTGTAACGTTCAATCTGTAGTAGGGAAGGTCCCCTCATTCCCAAATGATTATTAGACTTCTGGAAAAGCCAGGTTTTAATGACTTTATGGAAAAAAATATGGTGGGAACCAATCTAATCATACAAAGAACACTGTTTCAAAACAAACAAACAAAAAAAAAAAACCCCAGACATTCCTTCATGGAAGAGATCTCAAGGGACTCCACCATTTCCAATTCTATTGGGCAGGCAGAAGTCACTGGGAGAACAGTCCCATAGATATCTTGGTCTTCTGAAGGTTCGGTTTTAAAAGTTAAAAAAAAGTATGTTAAAAGTAAACAAAACAAAACAAAACCCAGCATCTTAACCTGCATCCAAACTGGTAACCAGTGCAGTTCTAGCAGTATACTGTAGTAACAGCAACTTCTTGTCACTATATGAGCCTCTGCATTCTGAATACTTGATCCTCCTAGGTGGCTTTTAAGGTCAGCCCTATTATCTGCTTTGCCAAAAAACGTAAGAAATTACCAAGTGCCAAGAAAGAAAAGAAATATATTCCCAAGAAAGAAATATGATCTAGAGTTAATAATAAGTATAAAGGTTGAATTAATTTTATACTGATATTGTATGGAACTTCTTTTTTTCTTTTTCCCTCCGAAGTTTATTTCCTTTTAAATGAATTATACATTGTGATAATGCAGTAAGAAACTACACACACACACACACACACAGACACACACACAGCTTCTTACTGCATTATCACAATGTATAATTCATTTTGTCTATTTAATGCAGTTCATTAATAACATTATAACATTTTAATTAACGAGTGGATGGAGTGACAATTTATAAAACTATCAAATCCCGTATGTACATTTTATAGCATAAAACAGTTTGTCTCACAAATTAAACACTTTCTTATTTATATAGTTAAAATACTGCTGTCTTATTGCCCAAAATGGAGAGAAAGGATTTGATTTTAAATATTAATATTAGTTCAAGTAATAAGAAGGGAAAGGGACATTAATTTCAGAATATTTGCCACCAGCTTAAAAATGTTTTAGAACTAGAGTTTACTAGTTCTTTTTGCACAACCATAGCTTCTAAAATAGAATTTATCTGGATGTTTCCCCCCCCCTAAAGAATTGAATGGGGCAAGGCTGTCCCAGTGGCTTAGCATGCAAAACACACACATGACTTTCACAGTGCGGCCTACTTAGTACCACCACTGCATCTTACAATCAGATTTTATTGTTCTTTTAAAAAGCTACTGATAACAAATACATGCCATATTTCTCCTGTATTTAATATGCCCCCCAATTAGATTCTGTTAGGCATACTGTAAATGCCGCTATGCCTGATATGCTCAATAGTAATTTTATTTTGCTGATAATTTACTAAAGACATCTTCGGTGCTATTGAAAATAATTTTATTTTTGACTCCATGCAAGTTTTCTGCAATACATATTAATGAATTAGATCACCAATTCCCATAACACAACTTCTTTCTGACCCACATTGGCCTGTGAACCAGTTTTTTTTTTAAATTTAATTTTCTTAAAACCAACTGTCAGCATCATGTGATGGAAGAGATGAAAAATGAAAATGAGTAATCCTGCTGTGCAGGTGAGTGACCTATGGGAGACAGCTCTGCCTGGTAGGATTTTTACACGTACCATCAGACACAGACCAATTGATTAGATCATCTTATTCTAGCCACCAACCAGGCTCCAGAGACTAATTAGAGAGAGTACTGCCTGCGCAGGCACCCCATTGACACCTAATTTGCTCAGCCAAGGCCTTTGGGGGGAATTTATTATCTCTGCAGCTGTACTTCATGCATTTCTGATTTGAGACAGAGGCGAGAAGCACTTAGTTCATCATGCTTCTGAACAAACTGAATGTAAGAAACTTAAACTGCTAAATACAAGCAGACACAAATTAAAACTGGCTAGCCTTAATCAATTCTGCTTCCCTCCTCCATTTTATGATGTATATCTGATGTAGATCAGCACACTGCCTTATATATTCTTTACAAACAGACAGTCCAACTTATCAAAAGATTGTCCTCTTTCCTCCAGAAATTTTTATTTAGTTACAGTATATATTATTCAATACTAAATGTTTCATGTAATATTTAGTTATTACAATTGCTTGTTTATGAATTTCTTGTTAAAAGTAATGTTATTCTTATTCTGCTTAATGTTCAAGGAGTTTTAAATAATTTTGTTAACATTTATTGTAGCTAGAGACTTTCCTTTGAAGCTGTAGAAATATTACCAGCAAGATTGAATTAATGGATGCATTTAGTAGTGATAATTGGCCCACTGCTCAAGAAACCATTGTTGGATCTGACTGCTGGACATTTTTTTTCCAGGATCTAACCACTCTTTTTGGGAGGAAGGTTATGGAGAAGATAGTTGCAGCAGGCCCTGGATGAATTATTTGGATCCCTTTCAGTCAGGCTTCACACCTTGGTATTGGACAGAGAAAGCATTGGCTGCATAGTTGTATGGCACATTTGGATGATCTCTGGCAGAAGCACCACAAGGGTTGTGCACCTGTCTTTGCTCTTGTCCCAAAGTGCTTTTTCCAGGAGGCAACTTGACTTTCTTGGGGATTTTTTCCTTTGAAATATTTCACTTCTCATCTCAGAAGCTTCTTCAGTTCAGCTTCTTTTTTAAAAAAACCCTAAGGGAAGTCCAATTGCCGTTTAGGAAAAGCACCTTTGCAACCATGACCTGGATGATTTAGAATCTTTACCGACATTTGACCTTGCTTTTCTTGACGTTTTGGTAGCTTTTACTAGTATTCATCATGGTATCCTTCTAGATCATACATAGAGAATGTATGGCAGAATATTCTGCTGACTTGCTTCCCCTGATGGGCCAATACCAGTCCGTGTACACATCCCATCATTAACCTCTTTGTGGGGTCCAAAGTTAGATATTGTCTCTGTTACAATTTAACATGTACATGAAGCTATTGGATGAAATTATCTGTTCCTATGGATAAAGTATCATCAATATACCATGATACATTACATACATTACTTCAACACTTCAGTTTTACAGCATTATAGTCAGTATTATACATCTCCACTCTGGGCAAATTAAGTGATGCTGCTGAAGACCTGTCTGGATGGGGAACAACAGGTTTTGGCTGAGTCCTGGAAAGACTGAGTCACTTTTGGATCTGAGATTTTATCCTCTTTGGTTCTGGATGTGGTTGTACTGCCCCAAACAGACCCAGGGCACAATCTGGAGACGCTTCTAGATTCACAATTTCTGCTTGAGGAACAAGTGGCTTTTAGAATGGAATACTGCAGTGTGCTCCATATGGGATTGTCCTGGAAGAATATCCAGAAATTTCAGCTGGTGCAGAATGTGGCTCCATGGGCAGTTATGTGCACCCAGGGATAGTGCACATTATACTTCAGTTCAATGATACATTGGTTGTCAGTTTGCTTTTGAGTGCAAACTCAAGGTGCTGGTTTTGATCTTTAAAGCTCTACATAGGTCTACCATAGACATGTTTACTTGAGGGACAGCCTCTTATATCTACTTGTCAAATAAGGCTAAACAGGAAAGTTATGTTGTGGGTCTCATCTACTAAGGAGTTACATTTAGTGGGATTCAGGTGCCATGCCTTTTCTACTGTGGCACCTGTCCTATTGAACATCATTCCTCCTGATGTGAGATCAGCCTCATTCCTACTTGCCTGCCAGAAAGTCTTCAAGATTTAATTTTTCCGTCAAATTTAGGAATCCTATGACCTACAGGATAGTTGTGTGATATTAAGTGATTCTCTCAACATCTTGAGGGAATTTTTGTTTTGTTTTACTTAGTATTTTATGATGTTTATTATTTTTTATGTATTCTGCTCCTTCTACCGTCCTGGTTTATGAGACGATGGCTATATAAGTTATTAAATAAATAAAAATATTCAATCCTGTCTGAATGTAACTATAATAAATAACTGTAAGAGACTGAACTTGAATGTTTCTACGTATTTCCTCAGATAAGAATATCAGATGAAAGTTAAATAAATCTTGTTGCTTGGGACTAATACAGAAATGGGTTGATAGCGTACTTCCTTCAAATGTTGTTTGGGTTATGACTTCCAAAAATTCTTCAATTTTTCCAACTAGGCCTTGAAATCATGAAACATGAAATCCAGTTTTAAATTTTACAATTTTACAATCAATTTGACATATCTATAATTTAAATAAGGGATGTATATGTCAGGTGCTTTATACAAGATATAACAGATTTCTTTCCTAGATATTTTTCATGTGCAGTTTTAATCAAATGGTTAAAAAAATGTGTGTATTACATGTTCCTCAAGACAGAGAGAATAATACAATTCAAATCATTCCTCTACCCTCTGTGGAATGTGGAAAATTGTTTTAAAAATTATATGGGAGATCAACTTTAGAGACATTTTCTACATGTAATTTAGGAAACCATATTTTTAAGATTAGGGAAATAGAGTACTAAAATGAAGTACACATAATTCTCAATTCGCAACTGTAATAGAGCCTGCCTATTACAGTCAGAAGTTGTGACAGCTATTAAGTGAAGTGCCCATGTGATTGCCTCACTTACAATCTCCAATTCCTGCTCTTCCCAATGCAGTGATTAACCAACTGCACTGGTTGTTAAGGTGAGCATGGGGTACCTC